GGCCACTCTTGGCCAGTCTTTGGGCCATCCAAGGAAGGAGTTTGTTGGGGGATTTAACTTTAAACTGAAAACTTTAGAAGAAACAAGGGAGTACTAATCCAAGCCAGAGAAATAGCATATCTTGAAAGTGTTATTTGTGAGCGATTTAACAGAGCTCAAATGGACATCTTTCGAGTGCCTCCCACTCAGCAGCGGGGCTGAGCCACCTTCTCCTGGTGGGATGCGAGTTCTCTGCCGTCTGTGGGATGGTGGTGTCAGCTTTCAAGTGCTGGTCTTTTATTTTTGTATGTAAAGTTTTAGCTTCTCTTACTCAGGCACTTTGTAGCTATTAGGCATTGTGCTTATACGTACAACTTTACTTCTAAAGAGCTTTTGTGTTGCCATAGAAATTAATTGGCAGTATATTTAAAGGGAATAGATTTACATCATAAAATGGCAAAAGAGCTTTCTAACAAGGACCCCCGAGGAGCCGAAATGTTTTCTTCAGCAGGCAGAGAAGAGACTAGAGAAAAAGCTCAATCTGTGAATTCCCAGTCTGTGATCAGGACAGCAGCTTACTGGGACGGTGTAATCTATATAGTTTAGTTTATCATCAAATGTAGACAAATGGAATAAATACGGATTATGAAAGACAAAATTAGGTGTTGGGAAGAAGTCATCTTGAGCCTCTCTGTATTTTCTGCAAAGGGGGCTTGGTAAATTCTCGTTTCCACTATATGGAAGAGAAACACACCCATCCCTGAATGTGCACGCGTTGTTAAGGAAACCTGAGAACAGTGTACTCTGGATGCAACACCTCATCTTCCATTTTTTAAAAGCTGACTTAGGATACCCACTGCTTATATAAAATGCCAAGTTAACCTCAACTTGGTTTAAGCTTTTGAAATTCCACATTAGTTAAGTCTGAATTAATGAGGTATCACTATACCATCACGTGGGTGGTAGGCATGAACTGGGTAAGGTGCCCTTAGGAGCTGGCATTCAGGTTAATTTCAAATTTAATTGTAACCATCAATTTATCTGATTAAAGCTTTAAGCATTTGAGGAATCACACTGCTATCACCCACTTAAATCTTTTTAATTTTAGAGATAAAATTTTGCATATTGTACATTTTACTAAGATATCCCTGGCTCAAATACAGAGGTCTGTATGGCTTTTTAATCTTTTTTATAACAGACAATTTCTATGGAACTCTGTACAGCCCACTTTAGTATATAAAAGAATGCATACCAAGTTCTGAAGTGACAGCAATAGGTCACTCGGGTTTAGTGAGACAAGCACAACGGGAAGGATGGGAAGGATTCAGCTGTTTGAAAAATGGCCACTTTGCATCTTGAGAAAAGTAAACCCTCTACATCTACCTTCCAATTTTTCAACAAAAACATGTGTCTGGATTTATAATGCATTATATTTGTTTAGAAAACTTGGTGACAGTGATCTTTGCTGAACTGTTCCCCTTACCCCACAAAATGGCAAATTAGTGATTCCCAGAAGTGCTTGGTGACAATGACACTGCTGCATCCCAAGCTCTATGACATCTTTCCTTACGTCTGGACTGCAACATCAACTTCTAGACTGTCCACGTCAGTGTGCCACACCACTTATCCCACTCTAGTCCCCCGGGGGACGTTGCTGTAACATTGGGAACTATCATGAACGGTGCTCACATCTGCTTTTCAGTATCTTACACAGTTCAGAAACAAAATCTAACCAAATCTCAACAGTCTAGACCAATTATGATAATGACCAACTGGAGACAACAAGGAGGAGCTTCTAACACTGGCCACCAAAGTTGGACTGTGGGGTATGGGGAGACAGTGCAGGCTAAAGGTCCTCACGTACTACAGAGGGAGGGCAGAGCTATTGGCTAAGTAAAGACTTTATGTTAATATGCAGAAGGAAAAGTTCAAGGGTAACGAAGTAAACAGAAAGACATTTGTAATTTAGCAAAAACAAACATAAAGCAGAGTCAGGGTAAATTAACACGAGATGGAAACAAACGCAATAATCAAAATAAGGTACATGGGCAAGTCTTGGCAGGACGAATTCCAAAAGTAGATTTAAAAAAGAGCCTTATATGCTATTTATATATTTGTCTACATTATAATGATGAACTTTAGCTTATCATGTCATACCCGGCACGGTTGAAAAGGGAAGTCACAAGTTGGAAGAAGATATTTGGTTCATATAATCCAGTAAGGGCTAACATTCTGCATAAAGAAATGTCTACAAATCAACATGAGAAACACAAACAGCCCATCAGAAAATGGTCAGACAGGTTATTCACCAAAGAAAACACCTGAAAGACTGGTAAACATGTGAGAAGGTCCTGCTGGACTTCACCAGTAATCAGGGAAATGGGAATTAAAACCACAGTGAGATGACACTGTCACTCCCTTCAGTTTGGTAACTGGCAGGAATGTTGATCAACAAAACTAGTGCCCACGTAACTAGTGGAAATTCTATCACCTTGTCATAGTCACTGAGTATAAAACAATAAAGACTTGGACTTCATCATTTACGTAGTTCCATATGTAGTATAATTATAAAGAAATGAATGGGAAGGCCAGAGAAAGTGTAGATGTAAACAGAAAAGGGCATTCACTAGCAGCTGCCGTGCTTTGTATTTGATACGTACGCAAGTATTGATTGTGTTACTTTTTCTAATTTTTTGTGCCAGAAAAATTGTTATGAATTAAAAATAGTTAACCTACCCCCCCCCAAATGGAGACAACTATTTTGGAGAAATTTTATTATGAAAAACAGAGTCAAGGGTGGGTTAAAAAAAACAAAAGGGCAGTGCCTATTGCTCAGTGGGTAGGGCACTGGCCACATACACCCAGGTTGGCAGGTTCAAACCTGGCCCGGGCCTGCTAAAACGACGACAACTGCAACAAAAAAATAGCCAGGTTTTGTGATGGGCACCTGTATTCCCAGCTACTTGGGAGACTGAGGTGAGCGAATCACTTAAGCCTAAGAGTTTGAGGTTGCTGTGAGTTGTGACGCTATAGCACTCTACCCAGGGTAACATTAGTAAGACTATCTCAAAAAAAAAAAAGCTCCTGATGTCCTAAACCAAGGATTTCTTATTCCCCTCCTCTACCCTAAAGGTGCTCCCTAACCAGCAACTGAGGCTCCTAAATTTCCCGATTAGTTGTAACCGTAAATGGAGGGACAGACAGCGTAATTCCCCATTCAAGTGAGGGCTGCACACAGATGTCAGCACCCCTCAGGACAGGTGCTCTAGGCTGACACGCTGATAGTAGGTGTCCCCAACATGTGCTCCTCCTTCCCCAAACCTATTTGCCAGTACAGTCCACGGGAAAAAACCAGCAAATTCCAATAGAGGGCAAGCTGCGATATACCAGCACCGTTGGGATCCTCATGAACACGGAAGTCTGAGAAAATGGTACAGTTAACAGGAGCTGAAGGAGACGTGATGGGTGATAACAAAACATAATGTGGAATCCTGGAGCAGAAAGAGGACATTACGCCTAAGATTCTTCCTCTGGAATGCCTGGAGTGGTCCAGAAAGTGCGTAATCTGACAGTAACGGTCTAATTCAAAAATTGCTGAAGCCTGGGTAACCAAGCAAGTTTATTTTCTTTTTCCTAGCATACCATAAAAATATAATTTAATAAAATCCTTAAAGGAGATGAAAAAAAGCTTGCCCAAAGAGATAGGCAAAGATTGCCCAAAAGGATGCTGTCACTTGAGGGAAGTCAGCCCTGTACACAGAGTGCAGGGGATGGAGTGGTTCAAACGTGAAGCAAGAGAGGTGGGGATGAGGCTCTGGGGGAGGCCAGGGCCAGACCAGCAAGAGCCTTTTGTGCTGCACCAAGCCATTTCCATCTATCCTGCAGGCGATGCAGAACCAATGAAGGTTTTTAAAAAGGGCAACGATATGATCAGAGTTGGGGTTTGGAAAAGTTACTCTGGTGGTGTAAGAGTTTGGACTGAAAGATGAAGACACCAGAAGAACACACATTTGTTTTGGGGGTGCTGAGATCCAGGTGCTTTAAAACAATAGAATACAAAGGCTATGGGACTGTGGGAGCTACAGACTTAGGGCAACAGTGGTGGCCGAAAAGACAAGGTGGCAGTCAAAGACAGCACTTAAAACTATGACAATAATTAGGGAGCAAGTGACAGGGCCATCAATATGCAGATATAAAGGCCTACTGAGATTCATAAGGAGGGAAAATTGGGGAGTGGAGCCCAGAGGGAGACAGATGGGACAGCACTCAAGTCACACTCACACCTCCAAATAGGGGAACAACATGAATCTGCGGAGAAGGAAAAGCTTTACAGTCCGAGGAAATACCAGAACTGCGCTACAGGCAGGACAAGGGGGGTCTGAGAAGCATGCTGGGTAATGGAGGGCAAAGAGGCCCCTAGAGCCATCTGGAAAACAGACTAGGGTCAGACCACAGAGGTCTGGATTTGAGCTTACTAGAAAATTGGAAGACCACTTTGTTTCTTTCAATTAATTTTTTTCTTTTAAATGCAAAGAATGATCAAAGCATAGGAAGAATAGAAACCACAAGGTCAGGACAGCTTGACTTGGCAAATGAAGAGGTAAGGGGGGGCCAGGGCCGTCCAACTGAAACAGAAGGCGAGCTGTATCTGCAATTTAAAATTTTCTAGTTACCACATTAGAAAAAGCAAAAAAAAAAAACTGCTGAATTTTAATAATATATTTTATATAACCCAATGTATCTAAGATTTACCATTTTAACATGTAGCACCGGCCACATTCAGGTACTCAACAGCCACACACATTGGATGACGCAGGTCTAGAGGTACTGTGTAGGTCAACATCCCGAGGCTAAGTATAGATTATGTGTTCTGCCTACAGGGATGGCCACGGGAAGGTGGACTTGTGATCCTGAGGTTGTAAGTTTGGCTTACTATAAGGACAGTGGTGCCACCAACAAAAATAAGGAACAGATTGAGTCAACATCTGCTGTTCAAGAAAGGAGACAATGTTGCTATAATGGAAAGGATGACTTTTATTTCCATCCTGAATGATTATCACACCATTATTTAAATACATCTGGAAAATCCTGAAATAATTTAAACTGAAGGCACAGAACAAATCAAAATATTTAACTATCAGAGCTAAAAATGAGAAAGTCCCAATAGTTCTACAGTAACAATAAATTATGAATAGTTTTCCATCACCAAATATCATTCTGACCAAAAATGACAGTCTTTTGTCATAAAAGCTACAGCTTAAAGCCAATTCCAAGATTTCCATGATAAAAATAATATTGAAAAAAATGTCTTCTTTCAAAATACCCATTATACCACCAGGTTTATTGTTAAGTATTTTACATACAGCAAAGTAGCAATTAGGATGTTTGCTGATGGATGGCTACTCTCCCCAAGAAATGACACCTTCTTACAAACTTTAAAAAAATAGCAAAGTTGGTTACAAAATTCTATTTGGGGAGCAGGACAAAAACTCATTCTATGTCAACTAGAATATCAAAGCAGTTAAATATTAAATTGCTTCCAAAGCCAATCATCACATAAACAGTAATATACTGTATGGGGCATTCACTGTATCTTGGTTGTATGTTGACTACACAGTGTAGATAAGGGGTTGAACAATCAGTAGCAATTACTGTTGCCATATCTTAGTTATTTCAAAGAGATACATTTTTAAAAACTCATTATAAAACTAACTGAAATCATGAGTGACATGCTACAGATATAATAAACTCCACAATGCAACTGCCAAGCTTCAAAATAAAGTGGTCATGCTTCATAATATATCGTACTGTAGTATTTTGAAATACATTCTGATTATCAATACCATTTATTACAGAGGTCACTTGTAAATTAGCTCAGATTCTGAACTAGGTTTCTTAATGAAACTTTTTTCAAGTATGCATAATATTAATAAGGTAAAGACATTTTTCTCTTATTCACTTATGTGTTCTCCAAAGGATAACTGTATTGAATAAAGGACAAACAAAATGGGCTAGCCATAGTTTTCAAAAACATTTCAAAAAAATATGAAATAGCCTAGTGACCAAGAGCTGATTAAAACATATCAATACCTAAAACCTACTATATTTCAGATTAAAGACACAGAACTTTTCAGTCTCTTACTTGAAACAACTAAGTTCTTAAGAAATAATGAGGAAAATAAGGTTTCTAAAACACTCAAGAAAGACTCCTATATGAATAAAATAAAAAGGTCTCCCCTTTCCTACTTAGCTGTGATAATGTATGTGTGTTTGATAGCAATATGGTTTTATCTTTATCATCTAGTTTAATTGCATAAATCCCAAAAACATTTCCAGCCAAGATTGGTGACAAGTATAATAGAAACTCTAAAAATGATTTTTTGCAAAAATGCCTTCAACATTTTCCTATGTAACAAAACATTCCTTTGGAGATGGATCTTTAATGCTTTTCAACCGTTCAAGTAAATGCAGCTTTTACCATCTCTAGCACTAAACTATAATTACTATCCAAATTCCTTTGTCACTGGGTAACATTATCTTTTATTCTCTACTATTCTAATAATAGTACATTATTTATAAAAAATATCTCTTTAGTGGTGTCAGACTTATTTTCTTCAACTTCTATTAGTATTGAGAGATTACAGTATAAATAACATAAACCAGAAAATCACTTTATAAACAGTATTAAGTTTTGAAATGTTGGCACCGATGAAAAATGGGGAACACTTATTGCCCAAATTTAAAAAGTATCCATTCATGGCATTGGCTCAACAGTGGCAGTACATGCTGCTGCTGTTGGCTTCACTGGCACCCATCTTGGGAGATGTATAACCCATCCTGTGATTCGGTTATTGAAAACAAAGACCCCCCAGAAATTCTTCACTTTACTAGCTGGGTCATATAGCCTGGATATACTTTGCTCATCACTGCAGGCAATATTTTGACAACTATGAGTCTGAATTCTGAAAATATAAACTAACGAGGGTTAGTGGAAGACTGTTTCCAAGGCCAAAGAAATGTAACTAAATTTAGGAAACCATTTAAATAGACACATATGGATAATCTTAGTGGTTTTGGGCCCTGTATATACCAGCTGTATCAGTAGTTAGTTCCTAACAACCAGAAATACAATGAAATAAGAGGGTTTTCTTTCAAAAACCTAAAAAAGGAAGATGGAAGACTCAAAACCAACTTGAAAAAACTATACAAGGCTTCCAGGCCAACAAATAACTGTCAAAGTGACTTTGTTCCTCTGCTCCTTCAGCATGGGAACTAACGCAGAATGGCTCATGCCCACAGTCGACAGGCCATTGACAGCCACGATCATGTCTCCGCATCTGGACAAAGACAAACAGGGACAGAAGCAGAATGTTACTATTGTCATAGTATTAAAAACATTACCCCAACTAAGACTGCTTAGCATAAAGTTACATCTGCACTTACCAATTAACTGTCAAGATTTGGGTGTACCGTCTACTCTGAGAATCATCTGGGATAGTTTTTAGCTTATTCTGGCTTTCCCTTGCCCATCAAGGAAATCCTTCTGTCAATACTTCCAACAACCAGTAGGTGAATTTCAAGAATAAGCAAAGTAATTTTCATACTAATTTAAACAAAGTATAATTAGAAAAGTAAATCTGTTTTAAAAAAATCCATTTGGAGGGGGTTGGTTATTATCTGATTGTTATTTCTTAAAGTGCGTACATCTGAAGGCTGAATTAACTAAGACCCTTCCTCTTCTTTTAGCTACTGAGACACACTCACTATCCTCCTGGCAGAATTATCACAAGACAATGAATCGAGGCCCTTTCTATCTTTATGATTATAATTATTGTTATGATTTTTGGTCTTCAGTTTAGACCATAAATGATATGCTAGTTTATTATGATTTCAATTTCTTTTTGATAGAGGTTTAAATACAATCATAGACTAATTAACTGATGCTTAGACTAGTTGAGTAAGTCAGCTAAGAGAACAATGAATTAATTTCCCCCTACTCCTTTCTCCTACAATAACTTTTAAAAAATCTTTATCAATATAGACTGACCTGGAGCAAACCACTCCTGATCACCTTCTCACATTATTTGGATGTCACTTTCTTTTTGCCAACAGGGCAAACTCTCCACCTGCTCAGCATTCTACCTAATATGTCAGCATTTACTTTTTTTTTTTTTTTTTGAGACAGGAGCCTCAAGCTGTCCCCCTGGGTAAAGTGCCGTGGCATCTCAGCTCACAGCAACCTCCAACTCCTGGGCTCAAGCGAGTCTTCTGCCTCTGCCTCCCAAGTAGCTGGGACCACAGGCGCCCGCCACAACGCCTGGCTATTTTTTGGTTGCAGCCGTCATTGTTGTTTGGCGGGCCCGGGCTGGATTAGAACCTGCCACCTTGGGTGTATGTGGCTGGTGCCTTAGCCACTTGAGCCACAGGCGCCAAGCCAGCATTTACTTTTTAAGAACTGTTTCTCTCGTCATAAACCAGGCATTAAGAACTTGGAATCAACCATCTTCTTTGTGATGATAATCTCTGACATAACACCTTTTCTTTCTTTTCTCAGTGCCTAAGCTTTGAAAAAGAAAACAGGCTGCACACTGGCTGAGTGAGTTCTGCTCAGTGGTTGTAATCAGCAGCAGAGGGGATAAACACCAGGGCTCTGGAGCCAGACAGTCCTGGGTTTAAATGCCAGTCAACCACACTCAGCTATTTCATCCTGGGCAAGTTTCTTAACTTTCCCAAGCCTCAGCTATCTTGTTTGTAAAACAGGAATAATAATGACACTTACCTCATAAGGTTGTTAAGAAGATTAAATAATGCATGTACAGCACTTAGCACTGCACCTGGCAAGCTGCAAGCTATCACACATCCATTTATCAAATATTTATTGAGATCTTATTATATATGAGCCACTGTTATGACTGCTAGGGATATAACAATAAATGTAACCAGATCCCTCTCCCTCATGGAGCTTGCATAAATACAATGTCAGGGAGACATGAGTGCTATGGAGAAAAATTAAGCAGAGTCATCTAATGACAGGACTGGATCTGCATCAGCTGTGTGGGAAACTAGCTCAGAGCTCACTGTCACTTCACAATGTGTTCAATCAAATGACTCAGATTTAGTTGTTGTCATTAGATTAATAAAATAGAACTATAAGTGACAAGATAGTAAAGGTAACTCTTTAATCGACATCAGGGATTGGCAAACCCTTTCTGCAAAGAGTCAGATGGATGGTAAATATTTTAGGCTTTAAGAACCATAGAGTCTCTATCATGAGGACTCAACTTTGCCACTGTAGAGTGGAAGCAGACATAGACGGTACATAAACAAATGACCTTGGCTGTGTTGCAACAAAACTTTATTTTCAAAAACAGAGGGCTGTATGTGGTGCTGACCTCTGGTCTAAATCGTGTCCAGCATAATAAGTATGAATCATATCATCAATTAGAACAGGACTTACTTTAATCTTCCATCATAATAAGCAGGAGTTCCCAAGACAATAGTTTTAATGAAGAAAGGCTGATTGGTGTGGTTCTCTTCATATCCACCAACAATACTAAAGCCCCAACTTCCCAAGTAGCTTCTTCGTAAAACTATATCATGGCAGCTATGAAGGGCACTATAATAAACACAAAAATAAAAGAAAAAATTAATGTGGAGGCTTTCGTAGCCTGCTCAGCTTTGATATAACCCCATATCATCTTATTCTTTTATCACTCTTAGAAAAAAGAAAAAGGGCTACTTTATTTCCTTCAGAATATCTTACTTTGACAACAACCCATATTTCTAGCATAGATGCAGTACTAGGTAGACTTGAATTTCTCCCCCTTTTTTCAGTCGTCTCTTCCCAAGTGAAGACACACATACATACACACAAGTACAGAGCTTACATAAACTTGGTTACAAATCACACCTCAGAGATCTGTACAAAGCTTATGTGCCTATATTTGCACTCTGCATTGTCAACAACGTCCTCAATTCTAATAATCATTTGTATGTACAACAAAGTGGGATGAAAGAGGTCTAGTACTACTGAACTAGAGCTCAAATAAAGAAGAAAATGACCAGTGTAGCTTCCAAAAATAAAGCAGATAATCACTCCCCTTTTCTGAAAGCATACTAGGGGGGAGGTCCCACTGTTAATCTCCATGAGCACTTATTTGTTGTACTTTCCTCCTTCACTTAGAATGCTTTCATTTTAAGAAAGACTCAATAGCAAAAATAGGAAAATCAATCTAGAAAATAGCAAAAATAAGTTTTTTCCCCCTTTTCCTTTCCATATCATCAGCATCGAGAAGTTACAGTTAAAAAGCTACTGCCAGGGAGACAAAAAAAAATCTACTTACATTTCCATAGCTTTATGGATTTGGGAACAAGAAATGAGTAAAGATGTAACATAACAAAACAAAACAAAACAAAAACAGACAAAAAAACCCCTAAGTGATATAAAAACCTCCTTGAATAAAGAAATTAGCTTTCATTTCTAGGTGAAACTGGATCGAGAGGCATCTAAGGCAAGATTTCCTGTTTTTAATACATAAAGATTTCTTAATAAAGCCAATTCTGTAAAGCAATATACAGTATGGCAGAACATCTCATCTCGTCTAGTTTCTTAACTCATTTAAAAGTAAGGGCTTTTAGACAGACTTTGGAGATGGCACACGAGCCCATGTATTGGTCTGAATTTTTAGCAAAAGCATAGGTTATTTTCATAATTCTGCATCTTCTGAAACAAACAGACGGACACTCTGGTACACTCCCAGTGAACTGCAGTGGAAGGATCTTCCTTTTTCAGGAAAAGCAGAGGTGCTATCCTATGCAGTGGGAAATCTGCTTTTAGGGGCCACCTGCACCCTTAGAGGAGGAAGGACACTTGGCTGCTGAATATAAGTTTGCGTTCAACAGAGACCTCCATAAATCCACAGATTAGCAGCCTTTTACTGACAGGTATTTCTTCTTTCTTTCTTTTTCCTTTTTAAATTGAGACAGTCTTACTTTGTCACCTTGGTAGAGTGCAGTGCCTTCATAGCTCACAGCAACCTTAAACTCTTGGGCTCCTGTGATTCTCTCGCTTCAGACTCCCCAGTAGCTGGGACTACAGATGCCTGCCATAATACCCGGCTATTCTTTGTTTTTGTTAACAGGCTTGGGCTGGGATTGAACCCACCAGCTCTGGAGCATGTGGTCAGTGCCCTAACCACTGAGCTACAGGCACCCAGCCGTGACAGGTCTTTTTTCAACACAGGTGGCTTCTCAATAGATTTCACTATACTGTGTATTTCTCATCTAAAACCTTTGTTATTTTGCCTGGTACACCAGAAAATGCTCTGAACAAAGAGATGAATGTGTGCCAACATTAGACTGGCATAATGGATTCAAGGAAGCCTTTCTGCAGGACACAGATGCTCTCTGCCTGTCCCATCAGCAGAGGAGGGAGCAAGCTCTGAGGTCTGTGTTTGCTGCCGGCCACTGCAGCAGCAGACCACTGCTCATCCACTACGTAGGAAGGGGCTTTCTGCCATTCTGGGTTTAAACTGACAGGTCTGAGTATCAACTGAATACTGAAGAAGATAAAAGAGGTGCCTTCTGATGGCTGAAATCTCACCATTTAAGTAGCAGTTCTGTAGGAGTGAAACAGCAAACACTCAAATCTATGTTTACTTTTCAATGGGAAAAATAATCAATTTTGTGTATGAAATAAACATGTATCAAATACCTAAATCATCTTTATTATAAAAAAAATGTTCTCTCCATAAAGTTCCTAATAGGTCTGTAAGACATGATTCTAGTAGTACTATTGTTTTAGGTCTCGTTTTATTTTTCTGTAACCAAGAGAACAAGTCAGCAAGTTAGGTTGCTGACAAGTGAAATCCAATAACATCCTTACTTTTTTGGTTATTCCTTACACGAAGGTACTTTAGAAACCATAATAAGCACTATACACAATGCTAGATGTTACTACATATTATATAACCTTACTCCACTTGAGTCACACGGCTCAGAAACGGGCACACTCATAGTGTTTATATTGTTTAAAGAATCAGTGATTTTCATACTTGGTTAAGAATCAAAATGTTTCATCATAGTTTAATTTTAGGATTCTTGTATACAGTAAGAATCTAAACCGATATGGAAACAAATAATGATAGCAATGTATATTCTTCCTATGTCAATATGAAAAAACACAACCACCACTCGACTGCAGAAAGGAATGAGTCCTGGAATGCCACTGGAAGTTCCACACGCTTCTGTGACCCTGATACTGACCAACCACGGAATGTCTTGGCTGGTCACACAGTCAGTTATGAAGCAACAAACTCTTTATAAAGGGGAACAGCTACACTTGAACATCAATGGTTTGGCTTAAAGACTTTGGTGTCCAGTAAAAGCTGGGTTTAAAATTCTACCATTTTAGGGAGAGTTAAAAAGGCCTTTAGAAAGGCTTCTGGGATGGAGCAAAGCCCTCCAGGATTAGCTTGTTTTTCTGGTGAAAAATGCCTGAGAAGTCTAAGCATGTATCAGAACCAATGTTGGTAAATGACAATTGTCCTGAAAGAGACTACAATAACCCAATCTCATGGCTGGCCCATTTATGACCCTTAATAGGAATGGATAGACCTATTTTCTTTGTTTTTATAAACAGACATAGTCTTTATAAAATCTACCTTCTAAAATGTATTATTAAATCTACCTTTTAAAATGCAATACTCTAAGAAAAATTATCACTTACTTTTGTCATTTGATGGTGCTACTTTTATTTAATTAAAGCCTTATTTTCTCCTAGTGTTTTAGACATTGATAAAGGCTGCACATGACCAAAAAGAAACTTCTAATGATGATTGCTCTGCACAAACACCAAATTTAACAACATTCATGTAAGAAAACACCTTCAGAAGAACCAAAATGGTGACTAGTCCATAAAACAACAAAAATGCTATCAGTACCTTGGAAGCCCAAGCCACATGATCCATGATGGGGACCAACTAGCATCATACTCATTTTCGCTGAAAGTACTTGGCTGTTCTTCCGTGGTCTGAGTTACCTCCTCAACGATCTGGACCTCAAGCGCTTTCAGGGCGACAGCAGGGGAGGCAGCACTGGCTTTCAGCACAGCCACAGCCTCACTGTGGCTTAAATTGGTCAGATCGATGCCATTGATATTCAGCAACACATCACCTGTTCAAGTGAAGAGAGAAGAAAAATGAGCTGAGCTACCACCCGATCTTTTCCTTTTAAATCCTGTTGTTTGTACACTAATTAACACAGGACAGCTCCAATAACTCAGATGAGATAAAGCCAAAGAGCGTTTTCTACTTCTTTGTAATTTTTATAACGTGGAAGAAAAATGCAATACTTAGAAAACTTTCTGAAATAATTCAAAAACTTAAAATAATGTCAGGATACGTAAGAAAATGTAGCTTGAGGCACCTCGATACAACTGGAAGGGCAAATCATTAGTCCCAGGTCAGCTGTGTACAGGCCCTGGGCAGGCTCATTCCTCTTCTTGGAGCTTCAGAGATTTCTATAGTTCCTTCCAATTCAAAAATTATTTGCTCTTAGAAAATAATTTTTGATGCATTCTGTACATAAAGACGGCCCTGCATAGTTCACTCAGGGCAAACTTACCAGCCTACACAAAGAAAGGAAACTTGTGATTTGAACATCTTCCCTTGCCTGAGGAAGAAAAGTTGCATTGCTCCGTCAAGTGACATAACAAGACCGGGCAACAGGGATTATACAGGGTGTCCATGAAATTCATGTGCAATAACTTTATGGACATCCTGTATAAAAGGTCAGGAAGGAAAGGATTAGTTTTGTAGGAAGCAGACATTTTTGTGACAAAGTCTACATAAAATCCCCCTCTCCCACTTTATCACCTACTTTTAAGATTACTGAAACAAAACATTCAAAACATTCACATTGTAGAAAACTTAGAAAATATAATAAAATAACAAGAAGGAAATAAAATTGATCCTCAAATGATGATTAGACATATAATTCTTTCCTAGTAGCTTTACTGAGACATAATTAATGTATCATTTAATCAACCCCATTTAAAGCACAGAGTTTTAAGGTTTTTCATATATTTAGAGTTGCATAGCCATCACCGCAACAATTTTTAAGACATTTTTATCATTCCCCCAGAAGCCCTGCACCCATGAGCAATCACTACCCTTCCCCCAATCCTAAGCCGCCACTTTCTGTCTCTACAGATTTCCCTATTTTGACATTTCATACACATGGAATCAGACACAGCCTTTGGTGTCAGCTTCTTTCCTTTAGCATGTTTTCAAGGTTCATCCGCATTGCAGCTTGTGTCAGTACATCATTCCTTTTTAGGGCCAATGAACACTGCAATGTATCTGCAAACCACATTCTGTTGTTGATCTATTCATCAGCTGACATACATTTGTGTTGTTTCCACTTTTTAGCTTTTGAGAGTAACACTGCTGCAAACATTGGCATACAAGATTTTCTAAGGGAAGATGTTTTCATTTCTCTAGGAGAGGAACCGTTGGATCATACGGTAACTCAGTTAAACTCTTTAAGAAACTGGCAAACTGTTTTCCCATTTTATATTCCCACCAGCAATGTATGAGCATTTCAATTTCTCCACATCTTCGCCTAATGTTTATTCTGTCTCTCATTTTATCACGGTCATCTGAATGGGTACGAAGTAGTATCTCACTGTGGTTTTGAATATACATGTGCTTACTGGCTGTTTTTTTTCCATGTTTAACAAACTTGAAGCAGTAGAATCCAATTGAGTATCTAGATCCCGATCACCAACTGCTATGACAACAGAGACACTTCAGTTCCCTGAGTTTCATAAACATTAATGTCTCAGTGAGACTGTAACTGAGAGGGGGCACAATCAAAGCAATCTTGGGTGGGTGGTGCATCCCACAGATACGTTTATTCATGCCATGACGTAAATCATACCTATACAAGCATACAGTGATGCCCTATGTTCCCATCTAACACAACCCGCTTATGCTACCAGGTAGACTGATATTTTATCTCAGTGTATTCCAAGCACAGCTGGATAGTGATAACCATGAGCAAGCAAAAGAGCTTTCAGAGCTTTGCTTCTTTCATCAGCATTCCTGATGACACTCATCGACCCTACCCAAATCTGGCAAACTGGGGTATAGTAGGGCTTCATGGAGAGCCAGACATTTGTGGTTTTTTTTTTGAGACAGTCTCAAGCTGTGACCCTCAGTAGAGTGCTGTGGTGACACAGCTCACAGCAACCTCAAACTCTTGGGCTTAAGCAATTCTCTTACCTCAGCCTCCCAAGCAGCTGGGAGTATAGGCTCCCACCACAACGCCTGGCTTTTTATTTTTGTTGTTGTTGCTGCAGCTGTCATTGTTGTTTCAGCTGGCCGGGGCTGGGTTCGAACCCACCAGCCTCAGTGTATGTGGCCGGGGCCCTACCCACTGAGCTACAGTTGCTGCTGGAGCCAGACATTTTTAACAATACTTTGAAGCATCTTGGCACAGGACCAACTGCTCAGGCTGCACCAGGTCCTACAGCCAATGACCTGAAACGGTCACCAGTGAGGGCAGGGCCACTACTATTTGCTTATCTTCTTAGACAAAGGTCTATTCAGATATATATATATATATATTTTCCCTCCCATTCTGTAGGTTATCTTTTTACTTTCTTGGTGGTGTCATTTGCAGTCCACCTTATCTGTTTTTTTTCTTGTGTTGCTTGTGTTTTTAGAGTCATAAGAAACCACTGCCTAATCCAAGATCACAAGGATTTACGCTTGTGTTTTCTTCTAAGATTTTGGCATTTAGATTTAGACCTTGAATCCATTATGAGTTCTACATATGGTATGAGGTAGGGGCTCATTGTCATTTTTGGAAAAATAACTTTCAAGACTTACTTTCCTTTCCTTATGAACAAACTAAGTGGATACTGTTATTTTTCCCATGGTAGTAGTGGCTAATTGTATCCTCACCTGTGCACATTATATAGCATTGATAGGGAATGTTAAATGGCACATGAGTACATTCCTAAAAGTAAGTTTGTCCTCTGCCCCACCTCCTCTCTGAGCCCCTTTCTACAAAGTCACTTTGTTATAAGCAACTTTTATATTTTAATAGGATGGCCCTTCAGAGTATCTAAGTCTGTCATAATGCAAGAAGCACAAATCTTGTAGAGGATCTTTCCCAAGATAAAATAATCCAACAGTCTGAGTAACCACTAGCAAATTCTGGAACCATTATCAAGGTTTGTTTATTTGTTTATTTATTTATAGACAGGAGTCTCACTCTGTGCCTTGGCATCCTAGCTCACAACAACTTCAAATTCATGGGCTCAGGCAATCCTCCTGCCTCAGCCTCCCTAGCAGCTGGGACTTTAGGCACCTGCCACAGTGCCTGGCTAGTTTTTCTATTTTTAGTAGAGATTGGGTCTTGTTTCTGCTCAGGGTGGTCTCAAACTCTTGAGCTAAGGTAATCCACCTACCTCGGACTCCCAGAGTGCTAGGATTATAGGCATAAGCCACCGTGCCTGGCTCATTGTCAAGGTTTAAAAGTTTTCCTTTAAATTGGGCATTTGGGGCCCAGCACGGTGGCTCATGCCTATAATCCTAGCACTTTGGGAGGCTGAGGAGGGGGAGATGGAGTTTGAGAACAGCCTGAGCAAAAGTGAGATCCTGTCTCTAAAAAAAAAAAAAAATAAATAAAATAAAATAAAATAGCTGGGCATTGTGGCAGGTGCTTGTAGTGCCAGCTACTTGGGAGGCTGAGCCAAGAGCAGGGCCCAAGAGTTTGAGTTTGCTGTGAGTTATAATGCCACGGCACTCTACCCGGGCAACAGAGTGAAACTCTGTCTCCAAAATAAATAAATTCATAGGGCATTTTTCTAAAGTTATTGAAAGGCTTTATGCTTTCATATGCAAGGGACAGTTTAAAGAACTAAAAAAACCTCATGTTTAATAGATACTTTGTAGATGCTCTTTAGTTTAAGAAATGTCAGTTTAATTCACAAAGAAGATATAGTGAAATGGTTCAAGATCCTAACTTACCTCTCTTGATTCTGCCATCCCGTGCAAGGCAGCCATGGGGTGGCACGCTGGTCACAAAGATGGGCAGTTCACCACTCTTACTTCCTCTGCCCCCAGCAACGGTCATTCCAAGGGACTCGTGTGGTTCTTTCTTTACAGTGATGTGTTTTTCTTGGCATGTAACACACTGAGTAAGATCCTAATCCATAAAAAGAAAAAAATGATTGGGTAATGAATGACAGACTGCCAAAGTAAAGACAGTTTAAGATAATACCTTAGGTGGCACTTATAAAGTGACTTATCCCTTACTAATATCTGACAATAATACACAGTTCTTAATAAATGTACTGTGGATCAGTGTCTAATTATGGACTACATTATTTTCATATGACTGTTGATGTAAGTGAAAAGGCTCAGCACTTCTGACATACAGCAGCCAAGGTTAAATAAGCACATACTTGCATGATTATCTTGAGCTCTAAGATATGACCAGTTGTATAAAAGAAAATAGTGCTTTCAAGTTTTAAGAATCTAAAGAAAAGTCAATTTACTCGCACCTTTCTCCCCAGTTCTTTGAAAGAAAAGTTAACAGAGTAGCAGTAGAAAAGTAAAGTATGGATTTTGCCAACTGCCTAGAAATCTACCTTTAAAATCTTTAGGAAAACCTAAAATAACTGAATTTATTGAAAAGTAAATAACAGGGAAATAAATTTTTGACAAACTAATATTCTCAGGAAGAAGCTATTTTTACTGACATTGTTATTGTTATTTATTATTGAGACACTCTTGGAAGTAAAACAAAGAATTTAAAACTACTTTTTAAAATTGGAACTCAGTAAAAAACAAGGCATACACACACAATATTTATACTAATAATTAACACGTATGAGGGCTTAGTGTATGCAGGCTAATAGCTTCACATGAATCACTTCATTTAATCTTCACAGTAGTCTTGAAAATAAATGCTATTACTGGCTCCATTTTTAGGTGAGGAAAAAAGGCTTAGGGAGGTTGTGTAACTTGCCCCAAATCATGTAACTATAGGTGACTGTACTGGGATTTCAACTTAGGTGTGTTAAAAGTATGTATGTTATACATGTATACAGGGTGTCCCAAAGGTTGCCCATGAAGTAAATGTACGTAGATAAAATGGGAAATTGTAGTTAAATGTACCTTTCTTTACAAAATATTCACTACAAAATTTTATAAAATGTTCTCAACCTGTTGGCTACCTCTTTGTAAAATTTTATACAGAAAGGTACATTTAAGTATAATTTCCCATTTTACCTACATACAATAACTTGATAGGCAACTTTTGGGACACATTGTAGTAATATAGCAGTATGTATACATGTACACACACAGCGTAATGCACTCGGTGTACTTACTGAATATATGCGCCCACACAGGAACTATCCCATTAAGTATATCAGTGAAAGTTAATATCTCAAAAGGTTTTAACAAGTATCATCTTGAGAGAATGTTGTAGATAACAAGATAATTATTAACACTATTAATAATGTCAAAAATAAAAGAATTTACAGAACTGTAACATTTCCTTAAATGACAGAACTGGCATTTTAAAGAACTGACATGCTTAAGAACGGTATTTACCAAATTTGTAAATCAAAGTCTGGAATTCTAGGTCGGCCTACCTCTTGTCAGACCTTGGAATCCATGTACTCTTGAAATTTTGCCAAATATAATAGCAGCATAGCATTCCTAGAAAATGTTCTGACCAAGTAGAAAACCTGTAAACATCTTAAGACAGCCTCCTATATAAAGGTATGAAATTTATGGTAATACCTTCAAAATTGGGCAAAAATGGCTTTATTATGATTGGGCAAAAATGGCTTTATTATGAAGATAGCACAGGTAAACTTAGCCTTGAGTATATTTATTTAAGCAGTTTTAGCCCTTAGGCAGTTAATAAATTAAGACTGGTTACTTCATTATTCTAGATGGCTAAAATATATGCAGTTTTTCCTCAGGAACCAAACTAAAGACTATACTCAGTATACCTTAATTAATTTCCTAGTATCATACGGATGTTTATCCATACAATTACTATGAAGCTTGGTAGTAGACTAATGTATACTCATTTCACAATGATTAATCATCTGAACAGGTTGTTTTGGTGAATTCGTGTGTTTTTGTCTTCAGTAGGAGAACTTTATTTTTCTAAATCAAAATCCGGCATAACAAACGAAGCATGTTTATAGTAAACAGCCAAATTAACATATTATATTCTGTGCAGTTGTTCTAACCAGCCAAGTATGCAGAGGACTTGGAATAAGAATAAATTCAGCATGGCTATTTAAAACATGGTTACATAAAATCAAAGAGAATGAGAGTGAGTAGACTTTTGATAGAAAAATACAGGTGCCCAAACCAAATCAATAAAATGAAATAAACAGAGTTCTCCGCATGATTACTGCAATGATTAAGTACAGTTTTTAAACTCTCTTTTTTTGAGACAAAGGCTCAATCTATTGCTCCAGGATAGAATGCTTTTGTGTCAGTCTAGCTCACAGCAACCTCAAATTCCTGGGTTCAAGCAATTCTCCTGCCTTAGCTTCTCAAGCAGCTGGAACTTCAAATGCCTGTCTGGATGCCTAGCTAATTTCTTTTCTTTTTTGTAGAGAGAGGATGTCATTCCTGCTTAGACTGGTCTCGAACTCTTGAGTTCAAATGATTCTCTGGCCTTGGCCTCTGAGAGTGCTAGGATTATAGGTGTGAGCCTGGCCACAGCCTGACCACACCCAGCCTAAACTCTTACAATTCTGAGTGTTGTCCAAGACACCCATATCTCAAATCACAGTAAGATTCAATAACAAGTAAGATTCAATTATAAAACTTTGCCTTATAATTCTTTGTGTGTATTTTTTAAAGCAAAGATTAACTATATCAGACAACTTGTATTCAAAATTCGTACTCCTTTTTTCATAGTTACCACTATAAGGGCCAAATTATAGGTTTCCTTCATATATTTTGGGTTTTGTCCATAAATAAGAACAATGTGTGAGACTGCAATTTCTTTTAAGTATTAACTAAATCAAAGACCAGTGACAAGTCTGCACAGTACTTAAACTCAGAAAACCAGATATACCTGATCATCTGATGGGCCAAAAATACTCTCTTTAAGCTATGTAATCTGAGGGTGCCAGGGATAGATTCCAAAGGTAATTACTTTCTCAAATGTTATATTAACATTAAAAGTCTACTTTAGCATACAAGAGAACTCCTGTGGTTTTTAAGCAGACCAATAAGTAAGTTTTTGTTTAGTAAATCAATTTAATTTTACTTAAGGAGAATTATTTTGGAAACTCACATTAGTTTATATTTTCACATAATTGGAAATTGTAAGCATCATATCATCATTTAAAAATTCTTGGCCTACTAGAAATTGAGTTCAAATGAAGGAACAAATGAAATAAATAATATCAAAAATTCTTTGATTTTTGGAATGAAATCGAGACAGTATCAACATTCTCAGCATACATAAATGAACTTGGACTGTATTATAAAACCAGTAAAATATGGATTCTGAAGAAACAGTAACAAAGCTCAACATATGGTAATTTTAAAAGATGTAGGGTAATAGTCTCTAAGATATAACATAAAAAGAAAGAAGCCATACATGAACCTTTTAAAATGCATGATTCATGTTTAATATTCACATATCTAATTCTGTTTTTATAGGCAATGTGCCTAATTTCTAAGTATAGATTTGTGGATCTTGCCTTCATTATGCTTTTTCAATCATATAACCAACTCTTACATTTAAATAAGCAATCCAAGATAAATTCTACTGTCAAGTAGAAATTAAATAGAAGATTTTTCTAGAAGATCACATACTTCTTGTCAATCATCTGGCAAAGGAACCTTCCCTGCCAAGAAACTATCTCTAATGGCTGAGGAACTGAGACATGCAGTCAGTCTCCAAGGTAGCAAAACATATATTTCACATTCCAAGCTTCTATGTTCACCTTTTCAAACAGAATAACACCCTTCATTTAAATCCTTTTAAAAAAATTATTTGAGGTTGGTTATATGCAAAAATTAGATTTTATCAGCTTATAACAATGATCCTTTGAGAGTGGCATAAATTTAGAGAAGAAAAATACCCTCACCTTGTGTGAGCTTGGTCTGTGATACAGTGGCTGTACGTGGTGCTGGCTGCTGCTGTGAGTGCCTCCTTCTCGAATGGTGTTACCGGGCTGGGGTTTCCCTGGTCTGGCAATTGTTAAATTCACCCTTTCTCCACTGGCCTGGAGTGAACACACAAACATCATTATCAGTTGTGAATGATGTTTGTCATTTTAAAGATTACAGGCAGTGTAATCTTCAAGACACTTCTCAATCAGCATACCAAGCCTTTATCTGGGCAGTGTCTACAAGTACCTAGTGGCAGGAAGGAATGAGTTCATCTCACTAGCTAATATTTTAAAACTTCTGTGGTTAAAACATACACACATGCACACAGAGAAACAGAGACATGGAGAGAGAGAGATCTTGGGAATGCATTCTGCAACCCCACCTCTAAAATAACCAAGGCAAAGTAGTCAAACTGTCTGGGCTCTCATCTCCTTATGATTGGTGACTTTTCTCTTAAAATGCTTTCTTTGGCCCTTGAAGGGTAGCCTTGGTATTGTGAGGAAAACAAAGAAAATAGAAGTTAAAACTATTTCAAAAGTTGATTAAAATCCATGGTGAAGGGTTGGCACACATAGCTCAGTGAATTGGGTGTCAGCTACATACACTGAAGCTGGCAGGTTTGAGCCCAGCCTGGGCCTGCTAAAGAACAATGACAACTGCAACCAAAAAATAGCCGCATGTTGTGGTGGGCGCCTGTAGTCCCAGCTACTCGGGAGGCTGAGGCAAGAGAATCGCTTAAGTCCAAGAGTTTGGGGTTGCTGGGAGCTGTGATGCCACGGCACTATACCCAGGGTGACAGCTTGAGACTGTCTCAAAAAAAAAAAAAAATCCATGGTGAAATAAATTCCATTAGTGGCTACTTTGGAAGTAATAATCAATGAAACTCTGCATAACTCTGTTTCTGTTGCCATAGGTCACATTCAAAATAAGGTAACTAGCTTAAACACTTCTGAAAAGAATGACTATAGAAATCCTGCAGAAAAGATACACACCCTTAAGTGTTAAGGTGTTGGAGGTTCATGACTACCATTTTAAATTCAAAGGCCTGTTGTTATGTATCATATTTGAAACATAGATTCACATCTATTATACTTTTAGAAGTTATTTTATTTCTCCTTTTACAGCACAGGTCTGATGTACTTAATGCTGACTCTAAGTTAAAACCATAATCTCCAACTTCACTGTTATTCCTGTGGGAAAATAATGATGGCCTTCTTTAAAGAAATTGTGGTAGAAAGTGGAGACCTCTTCTATGATGGTAAAAATATTAAGAAATAACTTTATTTTCAATTCTTACATTGGAAAATAAGTGATAAACAACTTTAATGTCCTATTAACATAATTTGCTATTTAAGTACTTTATTAAATGAAATAGTTTCAGACAAGTTCACCAAAACAACTGAAATAACAACCCTTAATTAATGTTCAGCTGAATTTTCTTTTTTTTTTTTTTTTGCAGTTTTTGGCCAGGGCTGGGTTTGAACCTACCACCTCTGGCATATGGGGCCGGCACCCTACTCCTTTGAGCCACAGGCGCCACCTGTTCAGCTCAATTTTCAAAGCAGAGTTTGGAGACTTAATCTAATGGGTAAATACCAAGGTAGAATATTTAGAATCCCAATATTTAAAATTCTGACACTTCAGATTATTAGACTGTACTGTGTGAAGTGGTGAGAAGTTCCCTTCAGGATTTTATTTCAATGTACAGAATCATTTTCATTAACAGCTCAATACCTTATAACCACCAAATACTCCATAATTAGTATTTCAACTTAACTGGAATATTCCTACTTACACTAAACTACTAATGGAATCAAATTCTTGATCTTTCAAGACTGCTTGAAATGGGCATTCAGAATTTAAATGGTGGATCAACATCTGGGTTTAGGCAAATTTTAAACAGACTATGTGCATCTAACACTCAAGGTTCTAAACTTAGCAAAATACATATTTTAAAAATGCAGGATGCCCAAATGTAATACTTATCATCGTGAGTGGTGTGCCCTGCTGTTCAGAGTATAAACTGGTATCTTTTTGAAGAGATGTTTAAGAAAGTATCTTAAACTTGGATATAAAACATAAAAGTCTGTCAATAGGGGAATGATTAAATAAATTATGGTACATATCTACCAAACAGCTATTAAAACTTAAGACGTGAGTCTATGCTCATTTTCATGGGAAGATCCACAACATATTGTTGATGTACATAAAAAGATACAAACTCAGAATTTATAAGATGAGTGGATATGTAAGTATTTGCATCGATATGTAATTATGTATCTGTAAACACATACAATAAAAATGTTTGGAATGATGTTCTCTAAAACATTAATTTCAACAACCTGAGGTGTTTAGACTGAATGTGATTTTACCTTCTTTATTTTCCACATTTTTTCTTCAATATTCTCATTTTTAGACATGAAGTACCTGTTAATTTTTAGAATCCAAAAACAACGATACTGTCAACTTTTTTCAAAAAGAAACTATTAAACTGAGCAGTTTTCCACAGTCTGAGGAAAATTAAAGCAAAAATATGATACAATTATTTATAAAAATCCAAATTGTTGTTGTTTTTTTTTTTTTTGAGACAGAGTCTCATTATGTCGCCCTCGGTAGAGTGCCGAAGCGTTATAGCTCACAGTAACCCCCAACTCTTGGGCTTAAGAGATTCTCTTGCCTCAGCCTCCCGAGTAGCTGGGACTACAGGCGCCCACCACAATACCTGGCCATTTTTTTGTTGCAATTCCCATTGCTGTTTTAGCTGGCCAGAGCCGGGTTCAAACCTGTCACCCTAACCACTGAGCCCTAACCTGGCGCCCTAACCACTGAGCTACACGCACCACCCTAAAAATCCAAATATTGTCGTGGGAAATTTTAAATATATTTTCTACCTATGTATTTGTATTTTTTACATTTTGGTGAGGAATTTAGCAACGACCAACTATTTAGGAATTAGAATATTTAAACATTACCTGAAATATATATACAGACAGTGCCAAAAATATACATACACATTTTCAGAGATGTTACCTGTGTATCACTCTTTGAAGCTGAATCAAAGGTACTGGTACTGTCAAGTGCACAAAACATGCTATGCACATGCATTTTACCTGCGATTCACACGCTTTTGGGGAATGATCAATTTTGCTTCCAAAAAGATCTCTTAAAATGTGTATATATATATATTTTTTGGCACCTCTAGTATACTGTCAGTTTATTCCTTTCTGTCATAATGATTTGATTTCTCACTTCATAAAATTCACTTGACTGAAACAAATCCTGTAACTCCGTTAGCATTCTTCTTTTCTTCCTCCCGTCCCCACTACACCCAATCAATCTCCCTCCACTCTTATAAGATGAACTGTTTTTCAGTAGAGTAAGATGAACTGTTTTTCAGTAGAGTAGCAGCAGCTGGCTGATAGGCGCAGGTATAGGTTCTCACGTTATCTTTGATTTGACGAAATTTTAAAGCATCTGATTTCTTTAAACCTCAAGTCTATAGAAGAAATGAGACCAATACCTAAATCTTGTCAATGTAATAAAGGGAGTGGGGACTTGAGTGTTCTTATAATCTTAACTTTCATTATTATTTGGTTCTGTGTTGTGAACACATTTTTCAGTTGACTATCAACCTACTTTAATTCCTGATGTTCCATTAGATAATGCTTGGCTCCTTCGCAGGGTTCTATTGTGCTTCCTTTAAAAACACCTTTCTGTTTCACCCTTACCACGGGAGAAGATGCTGATATTATTAAATGCCATGGGATGGCGCAGAACTTGTACATCTTCTCTGAATGACTTTTCCAATTGATTCGCTTCATGCTCTTAATGAAAACATGGTTTTTTCCTCTAATAATGACTACTCTTACTTATTTCACAAGGATATTGCAAGGATAAAGTTCTAAATACCCTGATTCCTTGAAAAAAAAACACTATAGATATAAGAATCAGTATTAATAAAAAATTACTTTTCCTTTACTTATATGGGTCCTGATAGTGAGTTAAGAGACCTAAAGACCAGGCTAAGTTACAGTCTTAGAAATCACAGCTCCTCTGAGCTTCACTTATTAAAGGTAGACAGCACAAATAGGTGGAACCCAGAGAGTAAGACAAATAAACAGGAAATAGTAGCGCTTACGTTCTATAAATAGCTTATGTTCTATAAAAAGTTCATGGGGATATAGGTTTTAGAAAAGACTTTCTCTACAACAACATATACTAGTGTAGATTCTGAATTTAAATAGCCATGCCTGATTTTCTGATGAAATGTAATGTCCCCTGAGTTCTGATGTTATTTACCAATGAAAACAAATAATGCCATGTGGTAATAACACTACCTTGGAATGAAGGCCAAGAGGTGTTACCTGAATAATCTGGGCAGCAAGCTCAGGAGTTCCGTGCTTCAAGTCGTGTCCATTGATGGCCAGTACTCGGTCATTGCTGCTGAGCCTCCCATCCTGTGCAGCCAGCCCCCCCTCTAATAGGTCAAGAATAAAAACGCCCGGCTCATCTGTCCTTCGGACTAATTTAATGCCAAGCTGTTCACCAGAGTCTCGCTTATGAAGAACCACATGGAAGATCTCTTCTCTCGGAGAGCTACCATCAGAATGGTTGTATGCTCGGTTGCCAAAGCGCCTCTCTCGAAGCACAGTGAGATGCAGCATGTTGCAGGGCTGGGAAAGGACAGCTCTGGCATAGTTATGGGACACATTGCTTATGTCATAGTTGTTGACCTAGAAAAAAGGAATTATGACCAAAGTCTGACAATCCTTCATTTTTACAATTTGTAGAAATGTTTACATTAGCATTTCCAAAAAGGAAACTATTATAAAATTGTGAAAAGGCTACATAATCATGATTTACAAAACAAAAATAACCAAGCTAGAGAGTTTCTAAAATTAACTTACAATGATTAGCATCAAGAGGAGAACAGTAGTCAGGATCACCGGCTTTAATGACTGTCTTGAGTTAGACTCCTTGGTTCTGCCACTTACTAACTGCTAACCTCAGGCAAATTACACAACTTGTTTGAATGTGTTTCCTCATCTGCAAAATGTTTTTACTATCTACTTCATGGGATCAGTATGAAAATGAATAGACAACATCAACAGATGGCAAGTGCTAATGAAATACTAGTTCTAGTAGAAGAGATATTGAATGAAGTTCCACTGGATTACAAATTTTCTTTTTCCAAATGGAAAGCTAGATAAAAAAAATTGAGTTTTATTTTAAGAAAAATAGCACATTCTAGGTATACAACCTTATTTCAGATGAGTGGCTTTTACTTTAAAGAAAAAGACAATTATAATTTCATTCTTATTTTTCAGCATATAAGTAGTACATAATAGGATATTAGTATAATATATCTAATAAATGTTATATATCACATAACATTTACTAATTAAAATTTTTAACCTTGAAATGTAACATCACTTAGAAAATATACTCAGCTTTAATTATTCATTTAGCTTACAAGAAGAGATAAGCATAACTCTTAGCATTTACAGAATTACAGTTCTCTGATTCTGAGATGAAACAAACATTCTCTGAACATCTGTTACACGACAGGCTCTGGATTTGGAGTTTGTGATCACCTAAATCCTTAAATCTTTTTCACACGAATCCATGTTAAGCAAGGCCTTCCTCTTCCTATTTATCTAGGATTGATAGTTTTGAATATGACTAATTTGAATTTTGTTGATTTTAGGTTAGCCTATTATATCTTTTAAAATTCAGTCATCAAATTCACAGATGTCACACATAAACCTGCACATCTCCCAAGTTTCAAACATCTATGCATTTGATAGTCACTCAGGTCCTGATAAAAATGTTAAATATATGGTCAAGAAAGAGCCTCTAGGCTCGGTGCACGTAGCTTACTGGTTAGGGCACCAGTCACATACACAGAGGCTGGTGGGTTCAAACCCAGCCCAGGCCTGCTAAACAACAATGATGACAACAACAACAACAACAACAACAACAAAAATAGCTGAGTGTTGTGGTGGGCACCTGTAGTCCCAGCTACTTGGGAGGCTGAGGCAAGAGAATCACTTAAGCCCAGAGTTGGAGGTTGCTGTGAGCTGTGATACCACTGCACTCTACTGAGGGCAACACAGTGAGACTCAGTCTCAAAAAACAAACAAACAAAAAATAAAGAACTTCTAAAGTTCTGTTTAGAAGGTAACTTCTAAAAAACTAGGCTGACGTAGATTCACCATTTCTGGCTATTCAGCTAAAAAGCTGCCTATCTCTAGATTCACATTTTTCCATTTTATATTCAGACATATCACATATATCACAAATGACTTTATAAAATATCTGGCTGAAATCTAAGTATATTTTCCAGCCAAGTGCAAGCATGTCAGCTCATATCACCTTTATGAAGCAGGTTGGGAAATAGCCTACAAAGAATGTTCCTCCATAAATGCACAGTTGCCGGTGAAATTTGGAGAAAGGAGAGACCAAATAAAACAGTGTTTCTAGATTTTGTAAAAATAGCATCATCATACTCGGCTCATACATTTCTTGAGCTAAATGTTTTTTACCAATACCTCAACACACGTAATTATTTTCCTTCAAACTAAAAATATCTAAATTTTTGATTATTGATAAAATGGAAGATACCTATTCTTAATAATATTATATTATGCTACTTTTAATAATGATATTGATGAAAGTTACCAGAGCAGTTATTTTTTTTCCTCACAGCTACTTAAAAGGCTGCATATGAATCACTGAGTGTGGCAAAAGGTTCAGAGGGCATATGGTTCTCCTTTTTAAACAGGCTATTTAATAGAATAATACATGTGTGTAAAAATAGATGTACTCTTTTTAATGTGGGAAAACCAAAGCCACACACTGTTACCAGACTGCATATGGTTTGCTAAATAAAAGCATAGGCTAGCTTTCTGGTATGCAAACAAACCATCTTACTGCCTCTTAGGGATTTTCCAGTTGGCTCACTGTATTATTTACCCAGCTTATACAAAATTGAAAGTAGCCAGGCAGGCCTCTCTGCAAGTTTACTTTTGGATGACCATAGTCCTTCTCTACATTTGGCATTCCTGATTGGCTCCAACACACCAGTTAAAAGCCAACCAGTCAGGGTCCACAACAGGAGGGGTCCAGGGCCCTTAGTGAATTTATTAATCAGGTTATGTGCTTAGACCTTCCTTATCAATTTGAATAATTAAACCAGATTTAAGATTGCTATTATTAGAGTATTAGTATATATGTTTCCATAAATAATAACAATGTAGATTTTATAACTTTGGCTTAATTCCCAAAAATATAATCATAACTTTAGATAATTATAATTTTATTTGAGGTAAAAAGATTCACTTATGGGAATAACAGTTCTCCAAAATAGAAATGAGCCCACTGATAAAATATATTAGAGAGCAAAAGCTGAAAACTAAACTCAGTCATATTTGAAGAAATACAAATAAAAATGAAGCATTTGTTTTTTACCTTTCAAGTTTAGAAAAAGAGGAAGAAATACATAAAAATGGTTTAACACTCAATATTGGCACACTGATAGCAACACAACACAAAACACAAAAGGAAGGGTACACTTCATTTACAACTGGAAAGGCCAGATATGGGAGACAGAAAGAACACTAGGTGGGCTGCAGGAAGGGCAATGTGGCTCTCCTGGTCTTAACCACCAAGGTGTCAAGGTGTCAAGGTGTCAAGGTGTCTGCGAAGGTGCACCTGGGAAACCAGCTGTAGGATTCCCTGCAGAATCAGGTCAGGAGCTAGAAGCAATACAGGTAAGGTGGCCTTAAAGCTGTGCCAGCCTATGCAGCTAGAGTGCTAATATCATAAAATGACAGAACACAGTGAACAGCTTGACAGGTTCAGGAACACAGCTTTATATAAGTTGGGTTAGTTACCCGTTCTGTATTTGTGTACTTTCTCTCAGTATTTAGTAAAACAAACACTGAAAGTTCAGTCTATCTCAGCCATGCTAGAGACAATGAAGAAGGGGTTTGGGGCATGGGTGTTAAGATGTGACTAATATACCACAAGAGATAGCAGACAAGTGGCAGTGGAAACCAAAGCCAAGAAAACCCAAAGCAAATGTCACCCTGACTGCCCTTGTAGCTTCCTGTCAACCCCCAAATCTGGAGAATGTCTTTCAAGAGCTAAAAATCCTAAAGGTTCCAAGTTTTGTATTAATAAAGAAGACGGTGATTCCCAACACCATACTATATCCAAATTTCAGACAATTTATTGTATTTGATTACTGTACATGATAAAGAGAAAAGCAATGAATGCTAATAGTAATTAAAGCAGGGGGATCAGTGTGGGTGACAATGACTGAACAAACTTTCAAAAGTGAAGGGGAACAACTGAAACACAAGAAGAGAACAGGTTGGAATGCGAAATTAAGTTATTTTCAGAGAAGCAAGATTACTATGTCTGACTCTTCCACTAGATTGTATATTCCATAAGGACACAACAGTATTTTGCTCTTAAATATAACCCCAGAAAGTAGTACAGTACATAGAACATCATAATAAATGAACAAACTAGTTTGCATGCAATAAAAGAAAGAATTATGATTAAGAAGACAAGTTGTATAAGAGACTACAGAGGACCCTAACTCCTAGATTAATCCATCTGGGCTTGACACCTGCAGAAAGCAGGGTTCACAGGCATATTAAGCTCTTACTGATAATGGGGGATTTGAAAAAGGAGAGATGGAGGCAAGGATATTTGCTGGGGTACTCTACTAAATTAAATGTGCAGGAGTGAAAGCCTAGACTCAAGAGACGGCAGGGAAAATAGAAGTAAAGGGTAGATATCAACAGATCATGGTGAAGGGCTGAACAAATCCAAAAGGAAATAGTCTTTGTTCTTGGGTTCCTAGAAGACATTTGTTCTTATTCACAAATATTTCTTCTCTCTCCTTCTAGACGTTATCCATTTTTTTTAAAACTTCAACTACCATCATCATATGATTCAAATGCCCTGGCCAATATTCATATGAACTCCAGCCTTACCATCCCAGCCCCTCAGTCTCAACATGCCCTCTCATAAAATATCTTGTCCCACTCTAGTTCTCTTTGAGACTATTTCTTCTTAAAAATCACCTGAAAGGGAAGACAGTAGGGACAGCATCAGGGTTTATTGCAGATGCAGAGTTCGAATGTTTTCTGGGGATAGTGCATTAGGGAGTCAATACGAGATGACTACATGATTTCTGAACTCTACCTTAAATTCTGTGGTATAAATTATAACTAGTGCTGCAGGGCTCTGTCTTTTCTGGATTTTACTGATGAGTGTACAGAAGGATACACCAGACAATGAAGGTAATGATGGGGAAACAGGCCATGAAATAAAGCCAATGGGATAAGGAAATTTCAGCAAGGATAAACACAGCCCTTCAATGACCAGCGTTCCGACCCAGGAAGAGGCCACATGTAGGATTGAAAATATATATATATTTTCAATATATATCCCATGTATATGGGAAAACAGAACAAATTACAGATATAATCTGATCTGGTTTATGTATAAAAACAGCAAAACTAACTTACATGTACTTCAAGTTCCATAATAGCATAATTTTCTAAGTTCTAAATGTACAAATAAGAACAAAAGGTCACAAGTTAACAGAATAGTTAAAACAAATACCTGAAGAATCTGATCTCCAGCGAGGAGCCTCCCATCTCTGGCGATGACCCCATCACGGTAGACTTCCTGGATAACAATGTTAATCAGTGGTGTCTCGTTGCCACCCACAATACTGATTCCTAACTGAATGTAAGGATTGGACCGATGAATTTCAATAGTGGTGATTTCTCCTTCTGGTAAACTCAGCGGCTGTTGTGTGGCTGCCAGGTTAAAAATGGGAGAGAGAAAACAGATGAACAGAAAAATACCAATTTGCATATTCTAATTATTCTTAGGTATATACATCATCTTAACAGATGATTAATAACTAAGCAATACCATAAAATAAAGAGACAGAACGACAAGAAAATATATGTATGTTTAAATTACTTAAAAATTTCTTCTTTCAAAGGTGATTAGGGACGACACAGTGATGATTAAGAAATATTAAAGGCAAGTTATCTAGTCCTAACTGATGAAAGTCTGGACCACGAAACAATGTAAGTAATGTAAAGCAGTATAAAGGAAACACCGGCTCTGTGGCACGTAAACCCCACAGGTGCTGGGAAAGTACTAAGCTCCTAAGAAGAAGTGGGTCTTGAACGAAGCCTTAGGAAATGAAACAGATATGGCAATAAAAAATTGAATTTGTGGTAGAATTTGGGGGAAAAAAATCACTTTATGCCTAAGAATCATCACTACAGGGTTTCTGTTAATTTGGTAGCAGGTTATACCATTAGCAGTGGCTGGTACCAGAGGCGTGACATGGGTAGAAGTGTAAATAACCATTTATTAGCTATTTAGCCAATTGATCAATTAACCTTTCAAGCCTCAGTTTTTCTTTTTCTTTTTTTTTTTTTTAGAGACAGTCTCATTTTGTTGCCCTTGGTAGAGTGCTGTAGTATCACAGCTCACAGCAACCTCCAGCTCTTGGGCTTAGGTGATTCTCTTGCCTCAGCCTCCTGAGTAGCTGGGACTACAGGCACCCACCACAATGCCCAGCTATTTCTTTGTTGCAGTTTGGCAGGGGCTGGGTTTGAACGCTCCACCCTCAGTATATGGGGCCGGCACCTCCTAGTTTTTCTTGTTTAAAAAAATACATATTTTTTTCTCTTATAATGTAACATATAAAGTTTTTAGTACAGTAGTTGACATAGAATACTAACACTTAATTTGAACTATTTTTGTTCTTGTTCTTGATTTCTTATGTCAAGAAGGAAACAAATTTCTGAACATACAGAAACTATAAGACCCATGTGAATGACTAGTGAGTTCATGGACTGCAACAGAAAAGGGAATGGGAAGGTCTGCCTATCACCAGGGTAAGTTTCAGGTTTGGGTTCTAAAATGCAAACTGTTAGAACTGTATACTGAAAAAGGTAAATGATGGGGTATATAAATTCTACCTCAACAAAACTAAAAAAAGAAAGTGCATGCTGGAGAGAAGTGGGAAGGAAGGACAGGTGAATTCTGGAAGGAAGAGTTGCACTGTACATACTGTCGGTCCCAGCGTTCTCCTCAAAGGCAGGGTTGTCAAGGCCAGACTCCTCAGTCCATGAGGGAAGAGAGGCTGATGTCAAGTGCCGCTCGGGAGGTACTGTGCCTGTCCCCGCACAGTCTGTTTCTGGTGACAAAGTACTTGGAGGATCTACAATAGTGGATCCATTTTCATTTTCAATTTCTGCCTGAGTTTTACTAGTTTTCCTTCTCTCTAGGGCAACTCTTCGATTAGAGGCTCCAGGACATCTAGAAAGAGAGCATCAAGTGGATTACAGATGATTTGGGAAGAAAAAAGGGGACTAGACAGTTAATAGCTTGTATCACAATCAAATAATGGCAATGGCTTCTATGAAAAAAAAAACCTAGAAGTACCCGCCCACAAACAGTACATAGTTTTGATCCCAATTTCCACTCAAACTAAGTTCTTATCACTCCATGTGGCACAGAAATTAAAAACAAAAGGCTTCAGCATGAACAATGGCTTGGTATATCTCTCAAAGAATATGCCAGTAGAAAGCGTATAGAAAACACCCTAATAACTGCCTTTGCGCTGAGAGAATTACTCTGAAATTCTGATTACATAACCCCTTTTTACAGGTTAAACAGCTTAACCACAGCAGTGGAAATAAGCAATCTTCTCCCACATGAATGACGGTGTCCTGACTTAGACCTTGAGTATATCACTGTGTTTCTATACTCTTCACACACAGCTACTTTACACACTAGTTAATTAGTGAGTAGTCATACATCAGAAGGCCCAAGTAATTTACTTTAGGATAGACATGAAAGGAGAGAACAATATATCTCCTAGTTTGTAAAATTAGAATTTCAAGAATGGAATGACAGATATGGTATATAACCTGAAGAATATATTCCAAGTACTTGGAAAGCTTACACCAAGAAATAAGAACTGTCAACTTGCTTGTTTTTACTTATTTAGGCAAACAAAAAGAAAAGATTGGCCTCTGCTTAAACTCATAACCAATGAAACATTTAAATAAAGGGTTTATACAAGTATGAGAAACGATGTCAAGGTGCCAGTTCCTTTCCACTGACACCTTGATTGGACAATGGAAATAATGCCCAGTTGAAGAATGGAAAGAGGACAAGATGAGTAAGGAAAGTAGGACACAGAAACCAAGGGCCCAGCACAATTCTAGACACCATCTACTTTTATTGTTAAGGTAATCTGCAGTAGTAACATTGGGTAGGATGAGTGATCAGAGATCTTACACCTAGGGTTGCAGACCTTCAGTCAATGATAATATTTTTTAAAATCCAAGATTTGTGACAAAATAAAGTACAGAATTAAATCAATTAATACCAAAGGCTATTTCTTAACTAGAAAAGTAATAAATTTTCCCTAAAGAACTAAAGTTTTTAAAACCTAAATTTCAAGTTCTTAAAAAAGATTACTATGAAATTTTTCTTTCACCCTTCCCTTATTTCTTATTTTCTCTGTATCTTATTAAAAAGGGGAGACAAATGATTTCCTTTTTGTGCTTCCCTTGTGTATACCAATCCAATTTTTCCAGATTATGGAAAAACTTACTTTTGTCAAGTAAGCTGATTTAATCAGAGATACATTTTTGAAATATTTTATTAAACAAAAAAGTTGAGGCAAAAAGTGGCCCCCAAAATATTGTGATTAAAAAAATATGTATCACATATAAACATCCACATGGAAAAAAATGTCTTCAATGGAAAAAAATGAAGTAGGAATAGGAAATGAAGAAGAATAAATACAAACAGTATGTGATCACCTGGAATTAGCCTAGTAACAACTTTAAACCCACAAACTTTAATAACTTATAATCATTAAGACTCACAAATGTTTAATAACGCTTATAAAAATAAGTTTAAAAAGGAAAATCTGAAGTTACTGGAGGTAAAGAAACAGATATACTTAAATTCCTGGTGGGACAAGCAAACCACTAATGGGGACTGAAGATATTTAAAATGATACTATGTAAAAATACAGAAAAATGATCTCATCCAGCACTAGAAGAGGAAAGACATAAATAGAACCTTTGGGAACACTCACATTGAAACAAGATTGACCAGCTAAGAAGACAGATCAAACAACCAGACAGAGAAGGACGTGCTGAGAAAAACTTAACCAAGGGAGAAGAGTGTCAACAATGAAACACCATCAGTGCAAATGCCGCAAAAGAGGCAAATAAGAACCAAAAAGTGTCAGTTTAACTTCATAAGCAGAAGGTCAGGGTGATTCTTTCCTTTTTTTGGTCTTTTTGTCTTGGAATGCCTTCCTTGCTGGGGCAATATAAGCATTTCTGTTAACTTAATATGTACTATCTACAAAAACTGCACACTAAAAATTACAGGGCTTTAGAGAAAAAGAGAATTGGGATACATCACTCAAACCCTGTGCATTGAGGAATGGGAAATGGCTGCTATGAATATGGGGTTTCTTTTCAGTGTGTAGAAAACATTTCAAATATTAGATTGTGAGGATGGCTGCACAATTCTATGAACACACTAAAAACCACAGAACTATATACTTGAAGGAGGTGAATTTTATGATATGTAAAATATATCCCAATTAGAGTATTAAAAAATATGCTATTAGTGAACGAGGAGATCAGAGCAAGCCTGGACAGAGAAAAGTTCATGACCAGAGATAGCTCAAAGCCATCATCCCACAAGTTTGTAAGCCCTGGGAACTGAAAAAGTGACATTTGTGGAGTGCCTAATTTATCCCAGTCACTGTATAAGGACCTTTATATACATCATTTCATCGTACCCTCACAACCGCTCTATTATTCCCATTTAACAAATGGGAAACTTGAGACTTAACTAAGCCAACGTCACAGAGCTATTAAATTGCAGAGCCAAAATCCAAACAAACTCAGATCTGATTTCAAAGGCTTCTCTGTTCTTTCTACTGAATCGTACTAAATTCACTCATATGGAGTTCTTTTTCTAGGCTTAGGAAAACAGAAGTGGAATTTTTTCTAAAAATTTGTACCTAGAAACAATCATAGAATGCTAGCACTAAAACAAACATCACAAAACCAAAAATCTATGCATCTTTGGAAATGGAATATTTAACAATAATAACACAAACAGTAATTGCTTTAGGGGAAGTAATTTAGTTTATTCGAACAGGTATCTCAGTGTAGCAGGAGACTAGTACAGATGATATAAAAAAGTGAATAAAAACAATGGAACAGAAATGCACGCAACATTTAATTAGATTGGGGTAGGCACGTGCTGAGACCACGCAGGTGGCCGCAGAGCTCTAAACACAGGTACACTTTGTAATTTTCTTAAAATAAAACCAAAGGGCTTTTGCAGTAGCCAAGACTCAAAGCAAGGAATTTTTTTCCTTTTCTGCTGAAGATTATTCTTCTATTCATTCCTACTATTCTGGCTTTTCTCATGCAGGAAAACGGTAAGTTCTTATACATAAGAATTAATTTGATTTATGGCATAGAGACATCATTCCCTGTTAACAACAATTGCATGTGAGTTAATTCACATTAGGGAACAAATGGTGATATTATTATTATCAGCAGTATTAGTGGTGGTGGTGGTGGTAATGTAGCAGAAGTAAAATAAAACATCGCATACTCAGTGTCACATAATGTCAGGCACTTAATGAAACTGAAAGAATGTGAGCACCACATAATCAAGAAAAATGATAAAAATTATTACAGAGTAAAATATACAAAAATCAATTCAACTGATGTCAAAAAAAATGACAGATTAAGAATATCTGAAAACGCTCTCCTCCATAAAAGCAATGTGAACACAGAAATTGTCAGAACCAACTACAATAGAACCTCCATATTGGCTACCTCCCTACATTGACCCCCTTCTTTAAAGTGACCTAACTTCCACAGACCAGACATGCGCCACATGTATTCACCAGCACAGGAAGCCTAGTTCCTTATGTTGACCACCTTCATTTGTTGTCCAGTTTGCTAGAGTCACTTGGGTGGTCAAATTATGAAGGTTCTATCGTGTTCCTGAGTCTGGAAATTAGCCAAAGGATTACAGCAATCCAGACAGTATTTATCCCAGAAAAATGGCTGACTCTTAATAAGAATAGAGGGCTTTGTGGCATTTGCACTTGCCCTAATCCTATTCCCACCTCCCTAGCTCCATGGTAGACCAGATATGGGCAATAGCCCATATCACAGTGGAAACCAAGAATCTGGCAGACACTGGAAGAACAGACTGGACAGCCTTCAAGACCCACCCCCAGAGAACTATTATTAATTGTCCTGTCTGCTGGTTCTCCACTTGCATTGCTGTCTTGTCTTGACCTGACTTAGCTTAGCTAGTATAAATAGTCTTTTCACTGAGGGCACTTTTTGAAAAGTGAAAAATCTTTTCTAAGGTAATATTTAAGATTATGGTTGCCTATGGTGGGCAAACAAAAGGCTAACCAAAATGTCTGCAAGGAAAAGCCAAGGAATGAAACATCTAGAGGGGCTGGCTATGTCCAGAGCTATATGCGTGCATAAAAAATAACCCTAAAAGGCGAGAACGTCCTAACTTTTCACTTCCAGCTGACCCCAAAGCTCTGTGAAGGCATGAAATGAAGGCTGACGCCATCAAGTGCCCGTCCAAAGGCATGGCATGTCCCACTGTGCATGCAGAGCCCCTAAGGAAAATGTAAGACTTACTGATTACAGGCATTTAAGAAAATTTCTGTCAAATTATTAGCTGCCTGGTAAGTTAACTGAGCAGAGATTTTACAGAATTAGTTCATCAAAGTCATAGAGCAAACAACAACAAATCCTAAGAAGGGGGAATTTAATTTCTTGAGTTGTCACATTATATTAAAATGTCTACTGTTCAATACAAAATTTAAGAGACATGCAAAGAAACAAGTTATGTATGGCCTATAGACTGGAAAAAAAGGCAATAAACAGAAACTGTCCTGAGGAAGCCCAGACATTAGAATTACTGGACAATGAATTAAATCAACTATTTAACTTAGATATGTTTAAAGAACTAAAGGGAACCATATGAACTAAAGGAAAATATAAAAATGATGTCTTACCAAAAAGACAGTATCAATAAATATAAAAATGCAGAATTAACTAGTAATTCTGGAGTTAAGAAGTACAACAAATAAAGAATTTGCTACAGAAATTTAATGGCAGTTTTGAACAGGAAATGGAATCAGTTAACTTGAAAATAGGATGAGATTATCCAGTCTGAAGAACAAAAAGTAAATGAATGAAAGAATGAATAAATAAAAGTATAGCAGC